GCCGGGGCAAGCTGACTGTTTCTGGGTTGCCCACATCCTACTTGACCTTGATGGACCAGTAGCTGCCCGGCCCAGGCCGTCAGGCTCTTGTCATGAGACTTTGATTGATGAAATAAAATATTCCAAAAATTGAATATTACTTGTCCTTGGATATTGGTTTATGGCGCACCTTTTGACGGCCTAGGCCGGGGCAAGTTGACTGTTTCTGGGTTGCCCCTAGCCTCCATGACCTTGATGGACCAGTGGCTGCCCGGCCCAGGCCGTCAGGCTCTTGTCATGAGACTTTGATTGATGAAATAAAATATTCCAAATATTGAATATTACTTGTCCTTGGATATTGGTTCATGGCGCACCTTTTGACGGCCTGGGCCGGGGCAAGCTCACTGTTTCTGGGTTGCCCACATCCTACTTGACCTTGATGGACCAGTAGCTGCCCGGCCCAGGCCGTCAGGCTCTTGTCATGAGACTTTAATTGATGAAATAAAATATTCCAAAAATTGAATATTACTTGTCCTTGGATATTGGTTCATGGCGCACCTTTTGACGGCCTGGGCCGGGGCAAGCTGACTGTTTCTGGGTTGCCCACATCCTACTTGACCTTGATGGACGAGTAGCTGCCCGGCCCAGGCCGTCAGGCTCTTGTCATGAGACTTGAATTGATAAAAAAAAATATTTCAAAAATTGAATATTACTTGTCCTTGGATATTGGTTCATGGCGCACCTTTTGACGGCCTGGGCCGGGGCAAGCTGACTGTTTCTGGGTTGTCCACATCCTCCTTGACCCTGAGGGACCAGTGGCTGCCCGGCCCAGGCCGTCAGGCTCTTGTCATGAGACTTTAATTGATGAAATAAAATATTCCAAAAATTGAATATTACTTGTCCTTGGATATTGGTTCATGGCGCACCTTTTGACGGCCTGGGCCGGGGCAAGTTGACTGTTTCTGGGTTGCCCCTAGCCTCCATGACCTTGATGGACCAGTGGCTGCCCGGCCCAGGCCGTCAGGCTCTTGTCATGAGACTTTGATTGATGAAATAAAATATTCGAAATATTGAATATTACTTGTCCTTGGATATTGGTTCATGGCGCACCTTTTGACGGCCTGGGCCGGGGCAAGCTCACTGTTTCTGGGTTGCCCACATCCTACTTGACCTTGATGGACCAGTAGCTGCCCGGCCCAGGCCGTCAGGCTCTTGTCATGAGACTTTGATTGATGAAATAAAATATTCCAAAAATTGAATATTACTTGTCCTTGGATATTGGTTCATGGCGCACCTTTTGACGGCCTGGGCCGGGACAAGCTGACTGTTTCTGGGTTGCCCACATCCTCTTTGACCTTGAGGGACCAGTGGCTGCCCGGCCCAGGCCGTCAGGCTCTTGTCATGAGACTTTGATTGATGAAGTAAAATATTCCAAAAAAAATTGAATATTACTTGTCCTTGGATATTGGTTCATGACGCACCTTTTGACGGCCTGGGCCGGGGCAAGCTGACTGTTTCTGGGTTGCTTACATCCTCCTTGACCTTGAGGGACCGGTGGCTGCCCGGCCCAGGCCGTCAGGCTCTTGTCATGAGACTTTGATTGATGAAATAAAATATTCCAAAAAAATTGAATATTACTTGTCCTTGGATATTGGTTCATGGCGCACCTTTTGACGGCCTGGGCCGGGGCAAGCTGACTGTTTCTGGGTTGCCCACATCCTCCTTGACCTTGAGGGACCGGTGGCTGCCCGGCCCAGGCCGTCAGGCTCTTGTCATGAGACTTTGATTGATGAAATAAAATATTCCAAAAAAATTGAATATTACTTGTCCTTGGATATTGGTTCATGGCGCACCTTTTGACGGCCTGGGCCGGGGCAAGCTGACTGTTTCTGGGTTGCCCACATCCTCCTTGACCTTGAGGGACCGGTGGCTGCCCGGCCCAGGCCGTCAGGCTCTTGTCATGAGACTTTGATTGATGAAATAAAATATTCCAAAAAAATTGAATATTACTTGTCCTTGGATATTGGTTCATGGCGCCCCTTTTGACGGCCTGGGCCGGGGCAAGCTGACTGTTTCTGGGTTGCCCACATCCTCCTTGACCTTGAGGGACCAGTGGCTGCCCGGCCCAGGCCGTCAGGCTCTTGTCATGAGACTTTGATTGATGAAATAAAATATTCAAAAAAAATTGAATATTACTTGTCCTTGGATATTGGTTCATGGCGCACCTTTTGACGGCCTGGGCCGGGGCAAGCTGACTGTTTCTGGGTTGCCCACATCCTCCTTGACCTTGAGGGATCAGTGGCTGCCCGGCCCAGGCCGTCAGGCTCTTGTCATGAGACTTTAATTGATGAAATAAAATATTCCAAAAATTTAATATTACTTGTCCTTGGATATTGGTTTATGGCGCACCTTTTGACGGCCTGGGCCGGGGCAAGCTGACTGTTTCTGGGTTGCCCCTAGCCTCCATGACCTTGATGGACCAGTGGCTGCCCGGCCCAGGCCGTCAGGCTCTTGTCATGAGACTTTGATTGATGAAATAAAATATTCCAAAAATTGAATATTACTTGTCCTTGGATATTGGTTCATGGCGCACCTTTTGACGGCCTGGGCCGGGGCAAGCTGACTATTTCTGGGTTGCCCACATCCTCCTTGACCTTGAGGGACCAGTGGTTGCCCGGCCCAGGCCGTCAGGCTCTTGTCACGAGTCTTTGATTGATGAAATATACCAAAAATTGAATATACTCGTTCTTGGACTCTGGTTCGTATGGCGCACCTTTTGACGGCCAGGGCCGGGGCAAGCTGACTGATTCTGGGTTGCCCTCATCCCTCTTGACCTTATAGTAGGCCAATAACTCCTGTAATAAACGGCATTCTTATTTTGAATATCGAATAAATAACTAAATTCATGTTTTGAATATCCAATAAGGAAAAAGTAACTAACTTCACAATGAATGTCGAATATCGAATAAGTAACTAACTTCACATACTAACTTCACATTTTGAATATCCAATAAGGAAAAAGTAACTAACTTCACGCCGGTAGGAAAAACGCGTTGATCCTTCGTTGGTCATACGTTGACAAACAAATTACGCGCGCGCGCTCGTAATTTATGCATTACGCAGAAGGGGATTCCCCCAAACACTGACCTCTACCAGTACCACCCAGCAACCTCCTCCGTTTCGAGCGGGGAAGGGGTTAATTGGTTGTTGTTTTTGGTGGGGGGGGGGGGGGGGGATTACTTGTAATTCGCCCAAACTTGCACCTCTTATTTTTATGTTTTCTTTTAAACTATAACCAGACGTTGTGTGTCCGAATAAGTTGTTTATCCTGACAGTTGTTTGTAAAGGTATAGTTTGAAGAAATTTAGAGCGGCAATTTTTCATAATCTTCTATTACTTATATATTAGACATTATTCTAAAGGATAAATATTTAGGATGCTATTTGATGCATACATTTCTTGGAAAACATGGCCATGTGGTGGCTTATTAGAATTCCCCACTACGCCCTTTTCTGTATGATTATATCCACATTACGCGTTTAAAAAGTTGCGACCGACCCCCAGAATCATATTTTTTGTTTACCGCCTTTTAGAAGAAAAAAAAATGTAATGAATGAGAAAGTATTAAAGCATTCAAAAATGAGAAATATCGGCCCAAAGAGGGAGGAAAACAAGTCTAAAAAAAGAAAAAAATTCGACCGACCGATCCATGAACATTTTTTGTATAGACCTTATAGGCCTATAGAAATACATTTTGATGGGTTTTTTTTTTTGTCGTAAAAAGAGTAAAATGATTGAAATATGGATCCGCAAAAGGAAACCCAAGTTCATGAGTAAATTACCCGATATTTTCTTCTCCTGGAGTGGTGGTGGTGGGGGGAGGAGGGCCCGTGCCCCCTCCCCCCCCCCGATCCGTCACTGGCGGATTGTTTATACAAATTCAAAATTGTCATAGATCCATAGTCTCTATGCTTTATTCATGCATGTGTTAAGAGCTTGTTCATAGGTAGAATCTGCAATGACTTGATTATATTCCACGTATATATATCAAGATATTTAAATCCTCTGCCTCAGTTAAAGGGAAAGTCCACCCTGAAATTAAGTTGGTTTTAATAGAAGCAGAACAATGAGAGAAATAGGTCAGTGAAGTTAGAGTAATTTCCGATTAAAAATAAGGAAGTTATTAAGTTTTGAAATTTTGTTCAATGAAACACAAATTTGCAACTCTGCGACATACTATGCGAGCTCACCTTAAGTACAAAAAAAAATAAGATTTTTTCATTTTCCCTCAAGAAAATTATCAATCATAATTATACATGCACCCTAAATATAATGATTGGAAATATGTTTCTATATATACTACCCCTGCAAGGAACAGATATATTCCGTCATTTATGGAATATTATGCACAAAGCAAATGGAAGGAGAGCTCCTGTAATATTTGCCGAGTTGCCAATTTGTATTTGATTGATCACAACTAGCTAGGGCGGACTTCCCCTTTAACTGTTATTCCTTTTCAATGATAGAATCCATTTGCGCATGGGACAGAGTGTGACTAAGTAGAATTATTTCCATCATATAATTGTATACTCTGTTTTGAATCAGTTCTTTGCTTATGTTGCAAGCAAATATTGAATCTGGTCTGGTCTGGTCATGCAGGCTTACGCTGCTGGATGGAAGTCGTGGTACAGGAAAAAAAAAGGCAAAATTAAGAAAAGATAGAGAGAGAGAGAGAGAGAATATCTAGAATTATGCCAGTGTCAAATTATGTCAGGCAAAATGGTAGAAAATTTCTCTTATATCTAGAACATTTAAAATGCACAAAATAAGGTGTTTTCGCCATAAGGGGGGGGGGGGGGGGTCCCACGCCAGTGTTTCGAACCTACATCTATCAAAGATAGTTACATTAGTCAAGCTACTATCAAACATTTTGACATTTTCATGAAAGTATTTTTCTCTGAGGATGTAGGAAGACATGTGCTAGAAATGATATGACAAAAATAAAAAAACAATATCAAGTATCAGGTGTCAAGTATAACGTTTATTTCTGTCTTCCAGAAATAACATGTAACAAAATATAATAGAGTATAATCATAACAGTACAATGTAGAATAAAGAAAGATGAGGAGACTTTGGTTGAAGCACAACTTGTTAAGTTAAGGCCCCTCAGATGATGTGACAAAGATAACTGATTCATGAATACAACAACAAATAATATATGGAATATATAAAGCTATTCACAAAATACACTCAGAAAGCACTACCCAACGATGCATCGACCACAGCATGGACCTATGGAGTAGTAGGTCCATGCATGCACCACAACAAGTATACCCGAAGATGCGCACATCCCACAAAAATGACAGAGGTAATTTCATTTCATTTCTTTATTGTGTCCATATAGGATAATTGTTTATATTTACATTAACAATCTTGCTTCAACATATGAACATAGGAACAACTTATAATTGACAATCATAGGGCCCTGTTTTAGTATACATTTAATATAATATACATGATCATGATGAATATACTTTTTAATACTCTTTCTTCTTCTTCTTCTTCTTCTTCTTCTTCTTCTTCTTCTTCTTCTTCTCTCTCTTCTTACATACCTTCCCTTTTCTTTTATTCTTATATGCTCTAATCTGAAGTAGGTATTTTGATTATTTTTTTTCCTTGATATATGATGTCATCTTCATTACGGTAGGTAATCATATTTGCATAGATTACCAATACATATATATATATCTTTGTAAACATGTATGTATATGAACTAGAAAGAAAAAAAAACAGAATTACCTTAGTGTAAGACGCGTGCAATGAGTTGAGACAATACAAAAAATGGGTACGCGAAGAGAACTAGAATGACAATGACAATTTATTCTCATGTCACCCACATTGGGGTATTGGAGAAGTTTACAATCAGTTTGAATTTGTCAATTTAACACTGTACTGTATACAATTCAAATCGAATTAATTTTGATCAATACAAATATCACTAACGACGATAGTGATAACACTTAAAATATAAAAGTAACAATAACAATGATAACAATAATAAAAAGAAATACTTATAATAATAATCATGATAATAATTAATGACAAAATTAATGGAAGCAATTAAAAAAGAATATTACTGGCACCAGTAAATTGTAATGTAAATTAACGAATTACAGTAATTATATTCTTGATTTCAATTTAATATTACAAATAAATTTGATATACCATAAGACAAATCAGAGAAAAATGAAGATAATATTGAACTCATAACATTTATGTACACATACTTGTATTAGTAATGGAAACGAAGCTTTAAAATAAAATAAAAAATATTAAAGTATCGTGTTTGTGCATTAAAGCTGAACCACTGTCAGTGTATTTGGTCTTTCAATCTATTGAGGAACAATGTTGAGTGTCACGTGACTCCATTTAAGATATAGGATACAATTACACCATCATCAAACTACAACACATTCTTGTGTCTCCTTTGTACATCAAAATATTGAAATAGCTAAGGCACTGCAACTTTATTTCAGTAATTTATGACCATCTAATATACATAGAAAGACCTGGGTTAAGTACATCATATTGCATGACATAATTCAGAATAAACTCACAGATCTGAGTGATTCCATTGTCTATTATGATAATCAGAGTGGATTAAAAAAAATGACATCACTTAATCAGAAGAGGATGGTGATCAAAAGGCAAGGTAACGGAATGCTCATAAGAGTACTGCTTACGTTTCTATTTTATAAGCCAATCAGGAATGCAAACTTATTAGAATATAACTCTTATTTACAAGGCCAGTATGTATGGCAAAAAAAAAAGGTTCGAAATATACATGTATGATACCATTGCATAATCATAATCATAATGATGCGAAGCAAAGCCTGGCATATGTATCATACAAATTATCGCAATCCAGTACTGGATACAATTAGAATAAACATGTATTGTACAATTATAGCAGCATATTTACATGTACATTGGAGTAATGTCAAGAAAAGTAGTACTGGTGATTGAGTTAAACATGTACAAACAATAATCAATTTCAAATTAAATAGTACACTGATAACTCAGGCATGTTACATTGACAAAAGAGACATGTATCTTAACATTATAACACATATTTACATTTACACACTGGAGTGTTTTAAATAAAATCCAGGAAAATATTTCCTCAGATGGAGTTTAAAATCTAGAACTGAATGTAGTTATAAATTTACAAACAATAATACATATCCAACAAACTGTTACATTGATAACTCTGGCCGATATTTATACACCCTTACCAGATAAATCTAGTTGTTAACTATCAAATCGAGTTCTATCAAGTTCGTTGACACGATAACTAGAGCAATATGGCTCTTAACATCTGGGTCATTCCTGGTAACTATTTCTTCTTAACTATATTTTCATTGAACTTGTGCAATGACATTTTGAAATGTTACATTCTTCAACTCGTAACTCACTTTGTGAAAGTTAGGTGGTATTTCATACATTGCATGCAAATTACCTAAAGCAAAATGATTAAAGTCTACAATACACATATACTCTCTACATGCATTATATTAAAGCTGTCTAATGTATGATTGACTCATTTGTTATGTATTTCAGCTTTATTTAACATGGGCCTCAACTTAACAAATGCTTTCAGGAAGAGCGCTGTGATCAAAAATGCAAGATCACTTAGAGCAGAAAAAAGTGCAAACACAGAAACAGTCTACACTAATTCTATATGACGATATTGTGTGTCGAGAGTCTGACAGACATTAATTAACGTACAGCACTTGTATGTTGTGAAGAAACCAAATCTTCAATTGTGGGCGGTGAGTGTGACAGACATTAACTAACGTACAGCACTTGTATGTTGTGAAGTAACTAAATCTTCAATTGTGGGCGGTAAGTTGAAAATTTAGACAGCAATAGTTCTTTAGCTGGGGTCATTTCTGGTGATAAATCAAACAAATAATTTCAGATTTTATTTAATCATAATTTATTATCAAACAAATACTGTGCATTAAAGTAACTACATCCTCCATTATGAGTGGTTAGTTGACATGATAGCATTAAGAGCTGGTGTAGTGGTTCACTCACTTGACTCAATGGTTGAGGGTTCAAATCCCAGCTAACCCAGCTCTAACATCCTTGGCAAGGCATTAATCCACATTTGCCACTCTCCACCCAGGTATTAATGGGCTCCCGATATGCCAAAGCGCTACATATTTGGCCGCCGCCTAGGACCAGGGTAATAATGTTTCAGCGCCAGGAGTATCGTGGCACAACGGGGGTATGTACTATATCAGAGGCCATCATTATTATTATTATAACTACTAGTCCCTGGTATTGTCATGTTCAATCCACATGCATAATGCATGATCATAGCCAAGTCCAAATGGACCCCAATTATGAGTATTTTCAAAAACATTTGCCACACAACATGACCCCTTTCTGCATAAAACAGGTACACAATGGGCTCTTGATGCAACTCTGTTTTAGGCTTGAGTACACATTCACAAAACGTATCCAATATTTGCATCACTTTCTACATGGGCCTTTCACATCTATTAGAACATTGTGACAATATCATGTTCTCTTTCTTGTAAAATATATACACTAACACCAGATAGTGGACTGGACTCATCGAGGTGAAAAAGAAGAACATGGCCTTTTCAATAATATTCAAATGTTTGCAAATATTGCCCCAAATTACCCATTTTTACCACAAATTTCTTGCTATTAGACCAGGACTCAAAACTAACAGGCTAGCCAGGACACATACATGGACCGCCAACACTCTAGGTTCGGATCCCCGAATTTTGAAGTTTTTTTTTAGGACTCGTGCATATACAGACTATAAAAAGTTAAATCTGAACCTCTTTTCCAAAAATTAAAGTTAGTGTGGTGCCCTGTATCATACATACACAAAGTCAAGATGAAGTGTTACCACTGGGACACTGTCTTACTCTACCAATACCATAGAAACTAGACTTCATACTTTCGATTGCTTCTCTGGAATTTCAGGATCATCCTGTGGAACTTTGGACTGAGTAGAAGGAGCTTGCCTCTTGTAAGGCCTGCTCTGACTGCTGCTACCTTCTCTGTGTGTCTGAGAGAATTGACATACAGCATCTGATGTATTGCCAACATGCTGTTGAGGGTGGTCTGATGAAGGTATTGTCCTTCTTGAAGAGTGTACATCCTCCATAGGGTGGTGTTGAGGGTGGTCTGATGGTGGTAATGTCCTTCTTGGAGAGTGTACATCACCCATCGGTTGGTGTTGAGGGTGGTCTGATGGTGGTATTGTCCTTCTTGAAGAGTGTACATCACCCATGGGGTGGTGTTGAGGGTGGTCTGATGGTGGTAATGTCCTTCTTGGAGAGTGTACATCCCCCATAGGGTGGTGTTGAGGGTGATCTGATGAAGGTATTGTCCTTCTTGAAGAGTGCACATCACCCATGGGTTGGTGTTGAGGGTGGTCTGATGGTGGAAATGTCCTTCTTGGAGAGCGTACATCACCCATGGGTTGCTGTTGAGGGTGGTCTGATGGTGGTGATGTCCTTCTTGGAGAGTGTACATCAGTGGTAACACTGATGTTGGCCAAGTCAGCCAAGCCATCCGAGTCATCCGAGTCATTTGAGCCGTCCGAGACACTCAAGACATCCGAGTCATTTGAGCCGTCCGAGATACTCAAGTCATCCGAGTCACCCGAGCTGTAAAGGAAAAAGATTTTTGTTATTATCGGTTTGAAAGATGAGAAATAAAAAATTGACTACTATCGATATTATTGAAAGTACCAGTCTCAAGGAACATTTTTAACAGTGAATTAAGAAGAAGAAGAAAAAAAGAATACAGTTTACAAAAAATATCAAGAACTCACACAAAAAAAGGACTCAAACATAATCTATAAAGTCAAGGTTGACAGCACTTTACAGTAAGGAATTTGTATAATCAAGCTGTTACTGAATATTTTGTGTTTTCAGACAATAAATCTTAAATCGTTTTAAAGGGATCCGGTATCCTGGATTTAGCTCATGCTGCAATTATAATTATAAACCTTTAGGTCAGTCAGGAACTACATGACTTTTACAAGCCGATCGTCTGTCTGACTATCAAGATATTTATGATTGCCAAACAGTTTTCATAAAACTACAGTCTATTGGGGAAAACGAGTAAGGTAAAACTGGTCACTCAAAGATTTGTACTTTCTGAGGCACTTCTTGATCAGTTTGAAGCGCCATTTTTTTAGGGCTTCAATATTACACCATATCACAGATACTGGTAGCACGCAAGGCCGTGCATCTCAGATTTATCATTGTTAAACGATCCCTTTAAGGTACACAGTATCACTTTATTGCATGCTCCCTGATGGGGTATATATCAGCATTGTATCTTTTCTTGGTATTCCATTAGAGGCTCTTTATATTGTTTCTTTATAGCACTACTCATGAAAAGCTTACATGTTGATATCTAAATTTCTTTTAAAATCACATATAGGCCTACTGTACTAACCTTGAGAGGGTTTGAAGAAATGAGTTCAAGTCATCTTGAGCAATTCCATTTAATCTGAAGTTTCCCTTTCTTATCTGAGGAAAACAACCCTGTAACATATAACAACAACATTACTTGTAAACAGTTACAAATAAGTGGATCCATTTCATTATGGCATATAATCTATTTTCTTAGGGACTATACACCTAAGAGCTTCAGTAACATCTCATAAACAAAATAAGTATGGATAATTTAAAAGAGCTAGGGTAAGACAAATTTTGCACAAGAAATTTACAAAAATTTCAAAAATAAATGGATCCAATACGTACTGCAATTTCATGAAATCCCGTTATATTAATCATAGTGCTAGTTTTACTGTAGTAGTACTGGTAGTAGTATTCACTAAAGCAGTAGTAATTTAATTATGATACTGAAATCAAGTATACAAAAACTACCTGTTAGAACAAATCTTAGACATACCGTAGTTCTCATATCTATCAAACTTGGAAAAGGTCGGATATTAATTATTGATCAAAACAATGTCAATCTTTAATATACACACTTGGATTTCAACTGAATCAGTACGTACATTATAGTTTGCTTTTATTCCATGTTTCACGACTACCAATATACCAAGTGAATGGCTGTTAACAAAGGGTGTTTGGAAGAAGAAAAATATAATTATATACATGTGCCCCCTATAATCATTACTGCTCTTTTTTGTCTGCAATGAACCTCTCCATGACATTGCCATTGGGACACACATACCTGTATGGATGATGCATGTGTTTTCAATGAAGATAAGAACTCCTCAGGCTCCTCATCGAAATCCGTTTCAAGTGTCAGGTCAGACAGGTTTGGCATATAACACAGTGCTTCTGCTAGGAGCTGTGATGATGCTGGTGTGGGAAACCTGACAGCATGAAGATTGAGAGTCTTCACCTGCATTCATGATGAATATAGTTAAATAACTCATCTGTACATGCATACATTTTATTTACAAATTTATCACTGTATTGTTACATTAACTACAAATTCAATTAATTACATAGTTGTCTTCATAATAAATTCTCAGCAAACATTTATAAATAGCTTTTTCTTTTCATAATTCAATTCTTGTCTATTGATAAAAAGAACAAAATAAAGTTTCCATGGAGAGGATGATTTGGTAATAGTGATTTGTTCAAAATTCTATATCTATTCTTCATAGGGCTTCCAGCCTGTTTGCATAGAATAGCCCTACTCCTACTTACACTGAAATTGTTAATATGCATAAATATATATTTGCTATTATTGTATTTAAGGTATTCTTAACTCTGGATTTCATGTGCACAAGACCCCTAAGTCAGGAGGTTTCTTGCTTTGGTTCAGTTTGGTGAATTCAAGCCTTTTTTAAAATTGGCTCTTAAAAGTATGATATGACATATTATTCCTATAAATCATATTCAGAAAAGGATGGATATGGATTATTGATCAAAACGATGTCAATCTTATATACACTTGAATTTCAACTGAATCAGTACATGTGAGTTTGCTTTTATCCCATGTTTCATGACTGTATCAATAAACCAAGAAAATTGCCTTTAGAAAAGGGTATTTGTAGAGAAAAACATATATATACATGTGCCCCATATAATCATTACTACTCTTTCTTCATTTCTATGACCCTCTCCATGACATTTACATTAGAACACACATACCTGTATGGATGATGCATTTGCTTTCAATGTACAGTAGAACTCCTCATCCAGATCCATTGGAAGTGTCAGGTCAGTCAGGTTTGGCATATAACACAGTGTTTCTACTAGATGATGTGATGATGCTGGTGTGGGAACAGCATGAAGCTTGAAAGTCTTCACCTGCATTCATGATGAATATAGTTAAATAACTCATCTGTACATGCATACATTTTATTTACAAATTTATCACTGTATTGTTACATTAACTACAAATTCAATTAATTACATAGTTGTCTTCATAATAAATTCTCAGCAAACATTTATAAATAGCTTTTTCTTTTCATAATTCAATTCTTGTCTATTGATAAAAAGAACAAAATAAAGTTTCCATGGAGAGGATGATTTGGTAATAGTGATTTGTTCAAAATTCTATATCTATTCTTCATAGGGCTTCCAGCCTGTTTGCATAGAATAGCCCTACTCCTACTTACACTGAAATTGTTAATATGCATAAATATATATTTGCTATTATTGTATTTAAGGTATTCTTAACTCTGGATTTCATGTGCACAAGACCCCTAAGTCAGGAGGTTTCTTGCTTTGGTTCAGTTTGGTGAATTCAAGCCTTTTTTTAAAATTGGCTCTTAAAAGTATGATATGACATATTGTTCCTATAAATCATATTCAGAAAAGGATGGATATGGATTATTGATCAAAACAATGTCAATCTTATATACACTTGAATTTCAACTGAATCAGTACATGTGAGTTTGCTTTTATCCCATGTTTCATGACTGTATCAATAAACCAAGAAAATTGCCTTTAGAAAAGGGTATTTGTAGAGAAAAACATATATATACATGTGCCCCATATAATCATTACTACTCTTTCTTCATTTCTATGACCCTCTCCATGACATTTACATTAGAACACACATACCTGTATGGATGATGCATTTGCTTTCAATGTACAGTAGAACTCCTCATCCAGATCCATTGGAAGTGTCAGGTCAGTCAGGTTTGGCATATAACACAGTGTTTCTACTAGATGATGTGATGATGCTGGTGTGGGAAACCAGACATTATGAAGCTCAAGAGTCTTGACCTGCGTTCATGATGAATATAGTTAAGTAACTCATCTACACATGCATACATTTTATTTACACATTTTATTTACACATTTTTCCCTATATTTTTACATTTCATACAAATTCCATTCATTACATAGTTGTATTCATGAAAAATATTTTCCGCAAAAATTATTAAATAGATTTTCTTTTCATATTCAATTATTGTCTATTGAAAAAAGAACACACTAACGTTTCCAAGGAGAGGATGATTTAATAAGAGTTAATAACGTTTAGATAATGAGATGAGGCTGGTGTGGGACACTTGACACGAGAAAGCTCGAGAGTCTTGACCTGCGTTCATGATGAACATAGTTAAGTAACTCATCTAAACATGCATACATTTAATTTACAAATTTCTCATTATATGTTTACATTTCATACAAATTCCATTCATTGAATAGTTTTAATCATAATAACATTCTCAGCAAAAATTATTAAATAGATTTTCTTTTCACATTCAATTATTGTCTATTGAAAAAAAAAACACTAACGTTTCCAAGGAGAGGATGATTTAATAAGAGTGATTTAAATAAAAACTCTATATGTACTCTTTATAGGACTTCCAACCTGTTTGCATTGATAGGCCCTACTCCTACATATACTGAAATTAATAATATGTATTTATATACATCTGTTATTGATGTATTGAAGGTATTCATAACTCTATATTTCATTTGCCCAAGACCCTTGTCAGGAGGTTTGTTGCTATGGTTAAGTTTGGTAAATTGAGTTCTTTATTAAAATTGGCAGTAATAAAACTGTATGACATATTTTTCATAACAATCAAACTTGGAAAAGGTTGGATATTGATTATTAATCAAACCAAAGTCAATCTTATACACATTTGGATTTCAGCTGAAACAGTACATGTATAGTTTGCTTTTATTTTATTTTTTATGACTGTACCAATATACCAAGTGAATGGCCATTAAAAAAGGGTGTTTGGAAAAAATGGTGTATACATGTGCACCATATAATCATTACTGCTCTTTCTTTCTTTCAATGAACCTCTCCATGACATTACTATTGGGACATACATACCTGTATGGATGATGCATTTGCTTTCAATGAAGAGTAGAAATCCTCATTGGACTTCTTATCCAGATCCATTTCAAAAAGTGTCAGGTCAGACAGGTTTGGCATAGAACAAAGTGCTTCTAATAGATGATGCGATGAGGCTGATGTGGGACATTTGACATTATTAAGCTCGAGGGTCTTGACCTGCGTTAATGATGAATATAAATAAGTAACTTATCAATACCTGCATACATTTTATTTACTAATTTCTGACTGTATTCTTATATATTATACAAATTCCATTCAATCCATACTTGTATTTATAATAACATGTTATTCTCACAAAAAATGATGAAATAGATTTTATTTTCAAATTCGATTCTTGTCTCTTGAATTAAGAGAACATACTAACGTTTCCATGGAGAGGATGATTTTTTAATACTGATTTTTTTTCAGAATTCTATATCTATTCTTTATAGGGCTTCCAGCCTTTTTGCATTTAATAGTGTAACTCCTACTTACATTGAAATTGTTAATATGCATAAATATATATTTGATATTAATGTGTTTAAGGTATTCTTTACTCTGGATTTCATGTGCACAAGAACCATAAGTCAGGAGGTTTCTTGCTATGGTTCAGTTTGGTGAATTCAGGCCTTTGGTAAAATTGGCTCTCAGAAAACTCTATGACAAATTTTAAAAATCAATCAAACTTGGAAAAGGTCAAAAAATGATGATTGATACAAAATAATGTCAATCTTATAAACACTCAAAATTGAACTGAATCTCCACATGCATGGCTTTTAATCTAATTATATTAATTTGGCATGAATTTTCTTTTACAAATTACAGGTCAGATCCTCTAAGAAGAAAGTTGTGTTTGGTATATGAGGAAATGAGTGAACACAATATCAAAATAAATAGCACAAGAAATACAAAATTACAAGGTATATATATTTCAAGAAGGGGGAGAAAAAAAAGACCAAACATTTTCTACAGAATTTATTGACCATGTATATAAATGCACACACCAACAGCCACACAAAACCATATGAGAGCAATACAGAAAAGGAAAGATTTTGGAATTGTCAACTCCCAAATAGTACTCAGAGCAACCTTAAAATGGTTTAAATATTTCTGGTCACGTGAAGAGCTATCAACCAATCAAAAACCAAAAAATGTGTAATGCAGAATATAATTTTTAATATTCTATAGTTTAACGTTTTTGTTAATATCAATGAAACCGATTTGGCATCAGGAAATCTTCTACGTATCTTCTAGATTAATTCAAGCATTTCAAATATCTATGTCTATTTGATCATAAGCATCTTTAATCTGGAAGTGCCTTGTTTAATTTGGATACTAGTGGACAGAATTACTCGCGGGTTTGTTTCCGTGGACAAAATCACCTGCGGTTTGAAATGATTCAATCTACAAAATTTCTCATGGGTGTGATTCCATGATTTTGTGACAAATTCACTACCGTATGTGAGATTGATTTTGTGACAAATTCACTATGTGAGATTGATTTTGTGACAAATTCACTATGTGAGATTGATTTTGTGACAAATTCACTATGTGAGATTGATTTTGTGACAAATTCACTATGTGAGATTGATTTTGTGACAAAATCAATTATTTGAAGTGATTTTGTGTCACATATGTCATATGGCGTCCCACAGCGCGTAGTTGACGTTCTTTGAAATGAAGCAACATTCACACACGTATCATTATAATGCCTCTTCCAAACAACAGCCAGAAGCATATTTAGGTTGAAAAAATGGAGGGGGAAGGGCCAGGGGTGGTCCCAAGTCATAAGGATTATGCAAATTCTCCTTCTTGCAAATGCGAATGTGACCGACACTAAATACATCAAAGTCCAAAACAAAGGCAAGAATCACTCTCCCTTCTTATTTCTTCCTATTGAATGTAGCCTAAAATGAGATTTTGTATTCATCTAAAAATTATTATTATAGGTTGTCCCGTCAAATTTCATCAGAATTGCATTCGATTTAACGATGCGATCATTCAATTTCGAGCGAATTTAAATGATCACCGAGATCAGCATTCAAAAAGCTATCTAGTTCATGCAATTTAATTGAATTAGCATTCAAATTCACACCTGCACCGCCCTGATGAACGTTAAGGTATTCAAATTCATGAATAGGCAATTATTTATAGCATTTGGGCAGTCTTTTAAAAAAAAAACTCTTCAAGTTCTTTGCAATCTGCACTAATTGAATAAATTATGCAAATTTTATGTACCTTGAAATGGGACCTTTGCGTTTTATTGAAATATCTTACAAGATAATAACGTAAGTAAGTACATGATAAGTACTTACTTACATGTAACAAAATTATGAGTTATAAGAATTATGTAAGTGTTATATCCATACTGCTAGGGAATAGAGAGAAACTGGAAGAGAAGATAAGAAATAAGGCGAGGCGTCAAAAATAAATATACCAGCCAGCGGCAGCTAACTGCACTTGTGCGTCCTGGCTGCATTTTTAAAATTAGCTCAGCCGGCTACCGCTGGCGGTAGGAAATGGCATTCAAAAGCATGCGCCGGCTGCCGCCTTTCGAATGGAAACTGAGCCTCAGATCCCAGCCTGGCGCAAGCCGGCTTGGCTAATAAGTGAAAAATAATTGCCCCAGCCAGGCTTCGGCCGTAATTGCAGCCTCGATGCGCCAATACGTGAGGCGGTAGCCTGCTGGTATCAATATTTTTGACGCCTCGCCTAAAAGAAATATACAAAATATGATTAAAATAAACTGTATGAAAGTTTTAAAATGAAAATGAAATTATATGATTTAAAACAGTGAAAAAATTAAATATGACGTGAACAAATTGCGGTAAGAATTACATAGAACTACAAAAATTGTTTATTTTAATTTATTTCGAACGTTCAAAGTGCGAAGGTGTGTGCCTATAAATGAAATTGAAATTGGTATTAAGGACAAAATTGAACGTCTATCTAGCTGGCGCGAAATTGAATGACAACTTTGTGTCACTAAATTGAATGGATTTTTAAATTGAATGAAATAAAATTTAAAATGATATAAAACAACATTGAACGCTCAAAGAAGGTAAATGAACCATGAGAGCAGAAAGTTGACAAAAATTGTTCGAACTTGAATGCCTATTCATGAAATCGAATGCAACTCTGATGAAATTGGGCGGGAAAACCTATATCATTATCTACCCAATGTTATACAACACATGCTATAAAGCATCACTTCTAGTCATAATCATAAGAAAAATCAATTCTATATTGTTTTTCCTCAAAACTGCCTTGAGTGAAATATCTATAATCACATACAATACATGTATCTATCATATGAAAGGGGAGGAAGGCCACCCAATATTAAGTTGGTTTGATAGAAGCAGAAAAATAAGAAAAAACAGGTTGGTAAAAATTTGAGCATGCGCGCGCGCAACAACCGATTTAATATAACAAAGTTATTGATATTTGAAGATGTGTTCGATACAAACCAATTAGGCATTTATGTGACGTATATTGTATCTTGCAAGGTCTTCTGACCTAGAGTATGACCTTGTTATAAGCTAATTAAAAAAAAAATACTTTCTCATGAGAAAATTTCAATCATACATTTACCCTAAATGTAACTAGAAATATTGCAATCTGTATTGCTGCGCAATGCGAATGCATCCCCGGCAGTGGCAGGGATTTTGTGTCAACCTTTATGTTCGCAGGAGGGACAAAGATCCCCTCTTCCCTCCCTGAAACAAAAGGATGATGTAGAGAGGTTGCTGCTAAGCTGAAAAGAGTCATCTGCTGATATGCCTGTGATAAGTCAAGCTTGGTGAAACATCCACCTGCCAGGGTTGAGAACAAATCCTGGGTAGGGGGTACTTGTCGACATCCAAAACAGGATTGATAGTAGTCTCATAATCCCCACAGATTCGAATCGACTTGTCAGACTTCGGTACTACAACAATAGGAGCAGCCCAATTGCTGTGTGAAACTGGAATGAGAACTCCTTGTTCAACAAGTTTGTCAAGCTCAGCTTCTACCTTATTTCTCCAGGCATAAGGTACAGGTCTTGCTTTATTGAAGCGGGGCTGTGCATCAGATTTGCCTTTAATCTTAGCTTTGTGATTTGTCATGGTTCCAAGACCTGGCTCGAAAACTGCCCGATGTTTTCGTTGAATTTCAGACAGTCCATGTTCGGAACTTCCTTGAAATGGATCATCCTTCACTGGTGCAACTTTGAACACTGATCTCCAATTCGGCTGGATGCTTTCGAGCCAATTTCTACCAAGAATTGCAGGCTGGTCCTTGATATCTGCTACAATCAAGACGTCAGACATGATTTTGTCACCATACTGCACTTTGACTTGGGCTTGACCCAATAGAGGCAATGTCCCTGAGTAGGACTTGAATCTGTAAGTAGGTTTATCCAGTTTTACGTGCTGCAATTTCTCATGATACAAGTCTGCTGGAATGACACTCATTGACGCACCAGTATCAACTTCCATAATTACTGGTCTATCCTTAATTTCAACAGTCACTGTGAGTGCATCATCCTTTGACTTCTCAGACACCGTGAATAACCCAAGGGTATGCATTTCACAATCACCTTCCTCTCGTAATTCAGAAACAACAAATTTGGTTGACTTACTCTTACAAACAGCTGCTAAGTGTCCAACCTTTCCACAGTTATTGCATTTGTACGACTTGTACATGTACTTACAAGTTGATGGAGGGTGTTGCCCCTGTCCACATTGATAACAAGCTCCTTGCACCTTTAGAACTGGTTTTGTGATGCGCTGGTTTTTTCTTTGCTCGAGAACTGTATCTGCCGCTGCTCGAACTGACTTTCTTGGTGCTGTATTTCTCCCAAGAGAGGTTGACATGCTGAAGCTCTTTGCATTGCATTCAAAGCTTCTTGAAATCTTTCTTAAGAGCGTCTATTTCCAGCTGTTTATTGGGATCTTCGACCTCTGGTTTTCCTTCAGTGCAGTTTTCACAATTTGCCTGTGTAGGACTTGAATCTGTAAGTAGGTTTATCCAGTTTTATGTGCTGCAATTTCTCATGATACAAGTCTGCTGGAATGACACTCATTGACGCACCAGTATCAACTTCCATGATTACTGGTCTATCATTAATTTCAACAGTCACTGTGAGTGCATCATCCTTTGACTTCTCAGACACCGTGAACAACCCAAGGGTATGCATTTCACAATCACCTTCCTCTCGTAATTCAGAAACAACAAATTTGGTTGACTTATTCTTACAAACAGCTGCTAAGTGGCGACCTGAAAAGACTCTGAAAAGAAGCAGGCTGCTGCCAAGAGAACACACGACAGAGGTCGTACCAGCATTTGTCAGTTTTCACCTGGTCAGCGTGTCATGGTACGTGCATACAGAGGAAAAAACAAGTGGGACTATGGAGTCATTGTGCAAGCTTTGGGACCAGTAAGATATGTTGTTCAAGTTGGTGATAAACAAAAACAGGTTCATCTTGATCAAATCATAAGAGGACCCATTAATGACCTTCCTCCATCTACCTTAGAGGATGACGGTGATATACCTATTACACTAGCATCACATGACCAGTCTGATGGACCAACATCACCTCTTCGGGAACAAACTACATCCGCAGGGAGAATAACCAGAAATCCTGTTCGTGATCGACGTCCACCGAACAGGCTGGATTATTATACAAATAATGAATGGTTATGAGTACAATAGTGCGAATATTTTCATGAGTTGAAAGATTAACATTCTATTCAACGAGGCGTCAGCCGAGTGGGATAGAATTAACGTTAATCTTTCAGCGAATGAAAATATTTGCACTATTGAACGAATGAAAAACATTCATTATTTGTTTTATACAACATCGAAGAAGATCTAATAGAACGTTGATCAACAAATTATGCTTTACTCCTTATATTAAAGATAAATAAAAGTTGGAGTCAAGCCTTCTCGATTACAATCAGATTGCCTTGGCGTCAGATACACGCAGGGATACGCGCACGGCAGAGAAGTACGCAGTCTGCATATAACCAAAATTGCACGACGCATATAACCAAAAATGCACGCCCGTGCAATATAACATCTATTGAATATCATGTGACCAACAATCCTCCAATCAAATGACAAGGATCCATGTAGGTGTTGTATAAAAGTAACTATAGAGAGGAGCAGAATGCATGCATATATTTGTTTCAACTCCAAGAAGGAATCTTTTAAAATGCATGCATTAATTCATTGATTTTGTTGGATCTCCATGTGGAGCAGCATATGACTTATTTGACTCACTACCAGGAGGTATCAATATTTTGGGCCAAGATGAAAACTTTGGAAGTCCTTGAAAGAAGAAGAATTAATTTTGACGATATCGTGCTGAATCTATGAGATACATGGAATTATGGAAATGATATTTTATTTTGATGATGAACAAACAATATGATGCGAAAGGAGTGTTATGTATATGGAACAACATGGTAGACATACCACTGAGCTGCAATGCATACCAATGTAATGTACATGGCTACATGCCAATGTAATGTACATACAGTACCAGCCAGTGACAATAGGACAATAGATGGATACCTGAATAGCATACCATTACCACTATAGGAAGAATGTCACTGCTGTAAACTTGCAAGCCACTTCACTACCAGCAGCCAAGTAGAAAGGACACTCCCTTAGCTCTCAGGTAAAGCACTCATGTATAGTGTATCAGAGATACAACAGCTCGATGGGACTATTGTCAAGACTAGGAGCAGCATCACCAAAACATTGTGTGTAGATTAGAGTATAATGCATCTCTGTAGAAAATGTGAAAGAAATCTGTCCGATCAAGAAATGTGGCAGTAAGAGTGCATGAAAGACAGCCACCAAAATATGACATTTGACCCTATAACAGACAGAATACAGGTGGCAGCATCACCAAACACTAAAGATGTGTAGATTGACACACCTCCATACAACATTTGACAGAAATCTGTCAAGAAACTATGTGGCAGTTAGAGCGTATAAAAGACACTTGACCTTTGACCATATAAGAGACGGAACAATGAGGGCAGCATCACCCAAAAGTGAAGATGCATAGATTGTACCAAGAACCATCTCCATACAAAATTTGAAAGAAATCTGTCATGAAATATGACCTGCAGAGCACACACTAGACACCCATCAAAATATGACCTTTGACCCTAACATAGACGAACACTGGTGACAGGATCACCAAAATGTGCGTAGATTATACCAAGATACACCTTCATACAAAATTTGAAAGAAATCTGTCAAGGAATGTGGCAGTTAGAGCGCACACAAGAATATGACGCGGCGGCGGACGCGGCGGCGTATAACGCTGCTGAATCCAAAGTACCCCACCGGCATACTGCCGGGGGATACAATTATCACAAATACCAGTAAGTTTTTATGCAACCCCTACATGAAACAAATCTATTCCGTTATTAATAACTAAGAAATGAAAGTTCATAAAATGTCTTGTACCGAGAAAACCTGTATCAAAAGATACATGTTTGTAAATCACAGTGTGTCGTAAATATGTGTTCCACTGAGGACAACATAATAAATTAATAAATTAAAACCCACTTAATATCAGGGCGGACTTTCCCTTTAAGTACATAATTATTTTGTGATCCTCCTACATGTGAGTTTCTTTAAGGGCATTCACGTTACATGCATACGACTGATTGCATATTACTCCCCGCCCACTCTCTAGGTTTCCACGGTGAGTATTCAAACTTAAAGGCTTTTGTTAACACTGCTGCCGCCTTAGTGAAACGACAATTGATATCCTTCGGTCAAAAGAACCAGCATGTGACATTAACAAAAATTAAAGGAAATCAAAATGTAAAAGGGAAGAGATGGTAATAATGGGGTGAAATTAAATTAAACACTTGTACATACTTCACAATTGTGGATGAAATGCTCACCTTTGATTCTTTTCCTTTCGTTGCAAGTGTTGCAAAAAAACAATGATGGAATGCACCATGAAGAAAAACTTTCTTCAAGGATGGAATGGAGCATATCATCTCTGCAACATCAAGTGACATAGAAGGTCCACAATCTCTATTAATCCAGAGTTCAACCTGGATAAAATGACAAAGTGATTACTGATGGGATGCAGAATATAGACTTTTACTTGGATGTTAGGCATACATTTGTAGTCTACATGAGCAGTTGCCCTAGATGTGCTACTAGAACTACAGAGAGTATTAAGAGGGAAAGGGAAATAAATAAGGCTATTTTTGCAATTGTAGGAATATCTTATTTTAGTTTTAATGTACTAAATCGAGAATCCTAAGTAAAAGGAGAGTACAAGTCTAAGAACAGGATTCAAAGGAGATTATTAACTTTACACCATCTGGTGCCTCATACTATACGGTATTCATTTATAAATGTTACTAGGAACACAATCACTTAATTAAAATGGTGGATACGAAGCAAAAACATAGGCTCCCAAAGGAGAAAAGAAGTAAAACATGGATACCCCTGCACGAGCACATACATGTAATGTGCATGTATTCAGTCTTACCATGGGAGAGTAATGCAGAAGATAGGACGAATTGATCTACAGAATACAATAGTCATGTACATGTACATGTATGTTGAGAGTTCTAAATGCCCTAGCTGCAAATGCTATCAAATTCAAAGTGTGCTTCAATATGATTCATATCAATAACAACAATGTTACATACATTGTTGGGCCAAGAATATCAAACAGATTCCTTTGTGCTCTGCTAAACATTTATAAACCAAGAATTTGGATATCAATTATTAAAGCAAAGTATATATTTTTCCGGATGGGATGAAAATGTGCTAACTATTGATGAAGTTCCCTTTTCCCAAATTTATCTCATCTAAAAGGTATAGAGGCACCATATGCACATGCCAGTACATAGCTTCAATATAAGTACATTGATGTCGTCGTCTGAATTCTGTTTCTTATTCCTCTTCCACCCAAATCACATTCGTTTTGCACACAGTGCTTGTTATTCCAAATTAGGTCCCTTTCTCTATCCCAAGTCCTTTCAGATTTTGTCTGTATATTCTTTACCATCCCATCGTGTGCACTAAAAACTGACTTCCAGGCCTCATTTTGACCGTTTGTGGTCCGTTTTCCTGCCTTAATTTCTTTCAGCTTACCTATCTCCACTATATAGATCCTAGATGCTACAGACTTCTAACAAATTACTCTAGATAGTGCAAGAGTTGCTCATCTCATCCAGAAATGCCATCTTAGCATACCGTACTCTAAATTAAGTCCAAAATCAACTCTTTCAAGAACTCTAAAATTCTTTAAATGTTGACGAATGAAAAGGAAAAACAAACAAAACTTTTTCAAATCAATTTTTTCTGTTTTAAATTTTACAGCATCTTTATCTTTGAATTGCACACTTTTCTGCTGAATTTCACACATCAATAGTCACACATGCTATAAATAGCATCCTCTAAAGTTCTGAAATGGATAAGTTTTTGTGGCCATACAATGTTGCTCCATCATGCCTGGCTGAAGAAGTACCCTTTTTTTTATTTAGATACTTTTGGGCTGGCATGCAAAGACAAAAGGTCAGGTGACTTTGTAACGGTAGATCTGTCCGATTTCCCCAAATTTTGTTTCAAAAGATGCCCAAGACTTTAAGGAAAAAATCATGAAGTGGCATCATAAATATTTAAGCATTACAAAGTAATCATGAAAATAGAGGGGGGGGGGGGGGGCTACATCAACCCACCCAGTCTTTTTAGGGTTAAATCTCCTTTATGAACCCTTCCATGGTTATAGTGTTGTATGGTAAGAAAATTGCAAAAGACATAAAAGTAAAAAAACTTGTACAAAAATGGATGCACTAGCTTTGTTTATTAAACTATGATCAAACTTACCAGATATGGACCAATGAATGCATACCCAGCTACAGTGTGTGCTGTCATGTGTATGTCCATGGTCAGCACAGTCTCCTCTGGCAAAAGTCTGTCCTTCACCAAGGCTGCTACATCTGGGTCCAGACTCTCAAAGGCTACATCAACAATGAAAGGAATATACCTGTCTACTTCCCGAAGCATAGACTGCATTACATGGGTTGCAATACTTTTGTTCTGTGACACAGTGAAGTACAGGAGATACTGAAACTCCTCCTTCCTTTGCAGAAATACTTGCTCCATCAGCCTGTTGAATTCATTACGATTTGATTCATATAGGGAAGCAAGGTGGACTCCAGCCATGTACTCCTGAAACAGTTTGTGAGGGAAGAAGACTGGCAATTGCACATGAGAATGCCTCTCATGTGTATCCGTGTTAGTGGTGGCAATTCTCTCCTCTTGAGACAAAATCCCAACCCGACATGCAGTGTCCTTGGATTCTGGGCATATTTCAAAATCATCTTCACTGAAAATCAAAGTATTTTCTAGCAGACCATTGAGGGCCTGTTTGGCAATAGGTACAAGGTCCTCATCAATTTTTTTCAAATGGGCAATAAGTGAGGGGCTGCCTACTTTCTTCACCTCTTTCTGAGCATAATGCTCTTTTAGAAAGGCAATCATTTCTTTGAATATCTGAGAAAAGGTTTTCAGTGATTTCATTTTCTTTAGTTTTTGCTTGTCAAGTTCTTTCCACATAAGACACAACATGGCTACATATATAGGATAGTGGGCCATGTTCTCATATAGAACATCATTCTCACTGATGAACTGGATAAGCTGATTTGCTTTATCATCATTCTTTGGAAAGTATTTGTGAATGTAAACTGACAAATTCTCTCTGCTGAAACCCTCAACATGAATGAATGTGTAGAGCTTTGATAGACCTCCATCTGATCTAATCTCTACTGCTCTCCATGGGCGAGTGGTCACCAAGACTGAGCAAGAGGCGAGTTGATCTGAACAAAGAATATCTGCAAGTCCAATATCATCAGTCTCAGATGAGCTTCCACATGCCTCTGAGGAGGTGACACTTGGCTGTGATGGCTGAAGTTGCATTTGATCAGTATGCTGTGATTCGCTAGATTCTGTCTTCATGATTTTGCCACTGACTTCGTCTAGCCCATCGAATGCGATGAATACCTTGTCCGGATTTGACCGGATATACTCAGTAATCTGAGAAACTGTTGCTGGATTGTCTTTGTCCAGATAAGACTTTGCAATCTGGCCAATGGTGTGTTGCTTAAATTCACGTAAAGGAACAATCAAGACCCACACAAAGTGACTTGAATGCCTCCCTTCAATCCAGTCCCAGGCAATCTTAGCACAGAATGTAGTTTTTCCAGCCCCTGCCTCTCCCTGGACCATGATCCGCTTGGGGAACTCTCCATTGACTTTGAGATTAAGGATATCATTGTAATCTAGCAATCGCTTCTCTGTTCCATGTTCTTCTAGTAAGACGAGATTAGTATGCAAGTCTTCAAACTGCACAGTGGAAGTAGGACTGAGAGGATCAGCTCTGATCTTACAGACAGTTGACCTGTACTTGAATTTGAAATCCTTTGCACACCGCTCAACCAGTTCAGGAGAAAGTGGTTTGGTCTGAGATTCAGCTGAAGGAGGTTTGGTCTGTGATTCGAGCAGTCTTGGTGGCCCTCCTAAAAGTACATAGATAATCAATATTCACATGATTACACGTAAACATAGCTTGATACATCTGAAAGGATTGTTAAGGCCCAAGACTGATAGTGTGATGTACGACTACGTGCATGTACTTAAAGACAAAAGTCCTACAAGATTGTCTGAATTTATATGACTACATTCAATTTTAAGGGCATTTAAAATCTGAGTAATTTGTGTATACATGTACATGTTATTGTAGATAAATATCACATGAATAATTTTTCCTACGACATTTCAGCAATGCAGAGTTTCGCTGACAATCACACATTTTATTATGAAAAACAAGACAAATATATACAGTAGGCTTATGATTGCACCAAGTGAGAGAGAGGGGGAGGATTAGGGAGTCCTGAAAAAGACTGTTAGTAATCTTTCTTGAGCTTATAGTTCTGAGGAGGACTATAGCACCGATTGGAGAGGATGGGTAGTAGGAGTCTCCCCCTCTCTCTCGCATGGTGCAACCGCAAGCCTACTGTATATCTGCATCTATTACAAATATATGACTGCATCTCCAGTATGCCTAAATTCATTTCAGATCAGGGCTATTGAATCAATTTTTTAATATCACAATAAGAATATATAAATACATGAACACTGACATTAAAAACTGACTTCACTTTTTGAATGGTTTTCCATTATGATTGATATAAGTTTGAGGAACTCCATTTCACTAACAGTACTGTAAAATGAATACTAAATCAATTGGGTTTGATAGGATATTAGTTTATACAGAGCATCCGATTGGCTGAGAAGCTATCATGTGACACTCAACAATTTGTATTATGTGCTCGGGCATGCTATATAACAAGCTGGGAATATAAGAATATATTGCCTGTGATATTAACATTTGAAACATATTGCCCCACGATGAGCCATAGACTTAGGCTCTATAGATTACTCAAAAGGCTTCATAATATATGGCGCTGGTGTAGCAAAAATTAGTTACATGTATCTGTTTACCTGTGATGTTTGGAATTGGAGGTCCACTGAGTAATCCGTCTGATAGGCTACCCAAGTCAATGTCTCGTAGTTTGTTTGCCAAAAGCTGTCTTTTGTTTGAGTGTGGAGGTTGCTGCTTGACATTCCATTTCATAAACACATCCAGTAACGCATTGGTGTAGTTCTTCAAATTTTCAGCCAGGATTGCCTGTAGTTGAGCATAGGAGAACCCTAGAGATATCCCAACGGCGTTGTAGTAAGATGGAGCGATATCCTGGGCCAGCTTCAGGAACTCCATTTCACTGACAGTACTGTAAAATGAATAACAAATCAATTGTGTATGGTGGTATATTAGTTAGAGAGCATCATATTGGCTGAGAAGCTATTACATGTATGTGACACCCAACAATTTGTATTATGCGTTCGAGCATGCTATATAACAACATGGGAATAGAAGAATATATTGCCTATGATATTAACATTTGAAACATATTGCCCCCAATTGCAGGTGGGGGCGGTATTGTTCTGGGTAATAACTGCCCCAAAAGATGCTAAAATGTTTTGTATAAATGTTTCCTTCCTTGCTGCGTGAAGATCAATGCAAAGCTTTCTGTTTGCCCTCTTGAACTCGCTAATTCTAATTAAACCATGTACCTTCATATCAGACTTCACTAAAATCCTACAAACATAACTAAAGTTATCGAAAAGGAAGGACAGAAGTATGGACGGACGGCAGCGTTACTTTCATTCTGTGGATGTTAGTGTGGAGTATCATAGAAAGAATGATCCTTGAAAAAGATGGGTCTTTAAATGCCCTCAAATAATTTGTTGTGGACCACACTTTCATGCTACATTTTTGTGTAGTCCTATATACACATTTCTGTGTCCACTGCATGTGACTTAGCTAGACTGGGCAAAACAATAATTTTGACTACTCCAAACCCAAACAGTATACACCAATACTTTTGCGCTAGATGCCTTTTAAATCACTTCAACAATGTTTCTTTTGCAATGCAATCGCGTGACCAGAACTTAACTTTATTGTTCACTCCTAAAGGTGACTATATGGGCTTACTTCAAACGCGTCATCACTTCGGGGCGGGTGCTCTTGTTGTAACCTGGCCTTTTGTGAAAACAGAGGGGGGGGGGTGATGTTTGTGAAATAAACCTCATTTATCTACAAATGGTCTGGTCTAATTTACCTGACACTTTGTGAAAACCCTGTGGCAAATCTACTAAAGATCGCATCCTGAACATGCATTTTCACACGATCTTTTGTTCTCCGAAATGTTGTGTAAGACAACCACCCGACTGGACGCGATGACCTGAAATAAGCCAGTATAATTATGCATACCTTTCTGCAGTGTTAGGACCTGGATTGGTTTCAACGTCACCAGATCTCATCAAGAGGATCAGGAGTAGATAGAGAAGGCAGAATCCATCCATGGTGTAAGATGTCCTTCTCACTTGACAGAAATGTAGTTCTCTGGAAAATGGTGATGACATGGGCAACAATACCTGAAAACAATAATCAGAAATATCTACATTAAGTTCATAAAACAGATGGAATGAGGGTTTCAATTCACTATGTCCATTTCATAATAGTGTAACATTTTGGGGGCTTTCTGAAACCCATCCTTGGGGGAATGGCTGGGACCTGCCTTCAGTATATTTGTGGTCATATATATCAATGAATGCTGTATTTGGGCAGATAACAATGATTTTGTGATTTTTGTTTGTAGTTGTCAATCAGGGTGCATGAGTTTCTTTCACAACGCGAAGTGAAAGCCATCTCGTCATCAAGAGCTGTAGTTTGTTTTAAAGCCCCACTGCACTACTTATAGCTACTTACGCCCTCTATATAGCATACAATGCCTAATTGGTGCCTGTTGGTCCCCCGTAATCCTCTTTTTTAATGTTTATTGAGAGCTGATTTGATGAGATGACCACCTGTAAGTGACCACGCAGGGAGGTCTAATCCCTCATGGCCAAACTAGTGCAGTGGGGCTGTAAGTCGTATACATTTCTAATAGCCCGAAGATAAAGATTAAGGTCACCGAGCAGATCATATTTATTGTTTGTTAATAATTTTCCAAGAAGCGTGGCAAAAGACCCACAGGAGATGAGTATCTTTGACAAGCCATAACTTAACAAATCAATTTCCAATTTACATCATCTTTCACCCCTAGATTTCTCTCATCAAGAGATTTACATTGATGTAGTTTGACCAGATTTATAAAAAAAAAAAAAAAACATTTGGAGGGACATTGACTTACTGATTGAGCTCTCATTCTCTTATAATTGGTATGACCTAAGTAAGTTTTCAATAAATGAAACATCTTAAAGGTACTATGTCCCTTTTGCAGCCAACATCAAATTCTGTAGAACTTTGCAGGAATCATGAATATATATGTCATGCATGTCATATCTGTGAAATTTAAACATTATCAGTGTCCTAGTATTCAAACTATGCAAGGAAACTGTTTCCCTTCAAGACTTCACCGTCAGACACTATTGAGTGACTGACTGACATTTTTGTTGTTGTTCGTAATAACATACATAAATGAGCAGTAACAGGTACATTAGCATTTGTCTACATATCAATAACCCACTGACACTACTTGCTATTGCCAACATTAAACTGATTGGATCTTTGTACAGCACAAAACATACGACCATTCGGTAAAAGGGTCTGAAAATCAGACTACTACTTAGGTGATTGCAATCCCTTAAGTCGATTTGACAACTAATGGTCGTTATGTTCCCACTAAAAGTCATTTCCAAGCCCTTTTGTTTTGAGGAAGTTCTAAATTAGTATTGTCCTCCAATGGTATAGATATACCAAAGGCTTCAAGTTTAATTGTCTGTTTTCAGTGCAAGATTGATCTATACTGTAACTGGTGTTTACTGGTTAAAGGGTTGCCATGGAGCTAATCAAGACCGGAAATGGGTAATTTGCAAAGCGATTGTGCCTCCACCAAAGTTATCCTTCAACCAAATTGTGCCTACATGTAGGGTTTTGTGCAAAATTGCATGTGTGGTAAATGAGTGACCATACAATATGCAGAGGCTGAGAGAGGCAAAGAAAGCAACCAAACTTTACCCAAACCTTGCAGCCTCTCAACCATAGCTGTGGGATCACAATCACATTCACTACTCATTCGCCAGTACTGCATAGTACAGAGTGCCTCACATGCATGAATTATTATATTGTTGCGTCATAATACTAGGCTTCGATCAGTCTATTCTTTAGCATTTGTTTTAATGAAATTCATGCATCAATTGCAGAGATGCCAAATTCAAAGATCAGCTATGCGTGACATGACTCGGCATAGCGTACATAAAGCGTATAGTGTACGTTTCGAAATCGCAAGCGTGAAGCAGGGATATGTGAGTTAAACTCACATATCCCTGCATGAAGCGACGTAATAGCCGGCCTGCATGCATGCTACGTTGATGCGATATACGTACACGAACCCTGCGAGGAGCTAGCTGAAGCAGTCGGCCACTATGTAGTCTAGCAATTACTACCTTTTATTCTTCTTTTTTCCCCAGTCTGGCCCTGATCCGTGACAAAAATCCAGTTAGGCCCTGATCGATGCGTGACAAAAGTGGGTGCCATGGGTGACAGTGTTTTTTGGCCCTCGATGCGTGACTGTCATTCACAATGCGTGACACTTGGTGCTCTGCAATTGGTAGCACTGGTACAAAAGTACATGTACATCGATGTACAAGACTACAACTAAAACTATAACTACAACTTGCAAGGTCATTGGAAATAGCGGCATAAATATTCATAATTTAATGATTCACGCCAATAATATTAAAAGTAAAAGAAAAGAAATAACAACGTACGCTGTAAAACAAAAGAAAGAACAAAGAAATATCAAAACAAAAATTATAACAAAGGAAACAAACACACAAATCTAAAGTAAAGTAGACTTTAGCTTTCTATAAAGACCTTCATTAATTGCAACTTTACTGCATGTAAATGTAATCGATGCACATGATAACTCAAATCTCACCTCTCAATACTCAAATTGCATTGTCTCAAGTCAATAAAAGTGAAGGCTTAAGAGTTAAGACTGTAAACTTCAAGCGTCGGCTCGGGCTCAAAATTCAGGCTCTGCAGCATCCGCACCCAGTCAATCCATACTAGAGCTAGAGGTAAATGACCGAGGAACGTACGTATTGTACGTACGGAGCGGAGGCGAATGGAATAGCGGGCAGCTGACGATGATCGTCCCCGGAGAGTCGCGGGCGGGTCCCATGTAGCATACGCATGCCAGGTTTGGAAAGGTACAGCACAATTAAGCTAGTTATTTGATATTGAGTCCAAGTCTTGTTTTCTGCAGTGCTGCTAACTTTTGAAAATCATCGGTTTTCATTAATTTTGACAGGAACCTTCAGCTGCAGATAGCCTGGATTCAACAACGGGTAACAAAACTGCTAATCCCGAGAAGAAAAACGCATTGATCCTTCAAACTCGTCCAATGTCAGTACGGGCGCGCGCTCGTAACTCATGCATTACGCAGAAGGGGATTCCCCGAACCAACAACCCACTGACTGGTAGAGGTCAGTGCAGCAACCTAGCTCCTCCGTTTCGAGTGGAAGGAGTTTGTTGTTGTTGTTGTTTCTTTGTTTCGGGGAGGAGGGGGGAGGGGGAAGGGAGAAACAAAATTACTTTTTATTCGCCAAAAAATGACCCTCTTATTTTTCTGTTTTCTTTTAAACTATAAGCAGACGTTGTGTGTCCGAACTAGTTGTTTATCCTGACAGTTGTTTTGTATATAGGTATTAATTAAAGAAGTTTACATACAAATTTTCATAATCTTATATAAGACGTTATTCTAAAGGATAAATATTTAGGATGCTATTTGATGCATACACTTCTTGGAAATTATGGCCATGTGGTTGTTTATTAGAATTCCCCACTACGGCCTTTTCTGTATTAGGCGTGTTTTTTTTGCTTGCTAAAGTACGCTATGTCATGAATATTCATCAGATATGTAGTATAGTATGACTAAATAAACCGTATTTATTTTCATCATTATCATAACGCTCACATTTATAGGATATGGCTGGTCTAGCTAGGTAAAAGAAAATTGCGGCCCTGCAAGCCCCTCCCCCCCCCCCCCAACTCAGTGTTATTAAGGGTACGCATATGCTTGTTCCCTCCCTTTGGATGCACCCCCTCTCTCAGGACTGCCAACATTTCTGACCCCCCCCCCCTTCGCTGCCTTTATGGGGACCCCCTAAATCCGGAAAACTGCTCAATGTACCCCATATCTATGATATTCAAGATATTTTATATAAACCCCTTTTTAAATTTCACAGGAGTCCATAAAGAGAGAAAGAAAAACAACCCCCTTTTTTAAATTTATCATGAATCCAGAGAGATAGAGAAAAAAAAAACCTTTTTAAAGAAAATCTTTGGGTAAAAAGTCCCCTTTTTTCTTTTACAATTCTTGGGCTGCAAAGTACCCCTAGCACTATCCCTCCCCCCCCCCCCCCGAGAAAATATTTTGTGGTGAATAAGCGGGGGGAGGGGGGGGGGGGGAGGTTAAGTTAATGAGCACTAATTTTTTGGGGGGCACAACTATAGGTTTTAAAGGTGTTTTTAATTTCTTTTTTTACCCAGGGGTGGGGGCCCGTGCCCCCTCCCCCTATGGCGGATTGTTCATAATAAATTCAGAATTATCATAGATGCATAGTGTCAATGCCTTAATGCTTTAATTATGCATGTTCATAGGCCTACGTAAAATCTGTAATGACTTGATTATATCACAACTATATGTAACACTCCTGACGACGGATAGTCAACCTGTTCGAAACGTCGAGCCACTCCCGCCACTCATCCTCTCCAAGCACTATAGTTCTCCTTAGAACTATAAGGTAAGAATGATAACCAACAGTCTTTTTCAAGACTACACCAACAGTCCTTTTCAGGACTACACACCCTCAAGAAAGATTACAGAGAGTCCTTTTCAGGACTCCTCAACCCTCCCTCTCTCTCACATGGTGCACCCGCAAGCCTACTGTATATATATATATATATATATGTATCAATTTTTAAAAATCCTCTGTCTCAGTTAAAGGGGCAGTCCACCCTGAAATTAAGTTGGAAAACTGAGAGAAACAGGTCAGTGAAGTTGGAGCAAATTCCGATTAAAAATAAGGAAGTTATTAATTTTTGAATTTGTGATCAATGAAACACAAATTGGCAACTCTGTGACGCATCATGCGAGCTCAACTCAGTGGTTAGTACTAAAAATATGAGAAATGTTCATTTTTCCTCAAGAAAAATGTCAATTATACATGCACCCTAAATATAATTATTGCATGTTTCTATAAACTTCCACGTACTGCAAGGAACAAATAAGGTATCTTCCGTCATTAATGAAGACGAACACGTGATTTTATGTAATATTATGCACAAAGCAAATGGAAGGAGAGCTTGCATGATACGTCGATCACAGAGTTGCGAATTTGTATTTGATTGATAGGGTACGTATAGAGAACTAGAATTACAATGACAATGGCAATGGCAATGAAATAACAATTTATTCTCATGTCACTCACATGGGGGTATTGGAGAATACTGTACAGTATACAACTCCAAACAAATTAATTTTAGTCGAAGAAAATATCACTAAAGACGATAGTGACCACAGTTAAAATTATGAAAATAATATTGACAAGAATAATAGAGAAAAATATTTATAATAATAATCATAATAATAATTAATGACAAAATAAATGGAAGCGATTGAAAAAGAAAGTTTCTATTTGAATTAATGAATTACCGAAATATTCTTGATCAATTTAATAATTTGATATAAGACAGAAGGAGAAACATGAAGATAATATTGAACTCGTAACATTCAATGTACACACATACTTAAATTAGTAATGGAAACAAAGCTTTTTTTTATTTTTTATCGAGGAACAATGTTGAATGTCACGTGACACCATGTCAGCTATAGGATACAAATACACCATCATCAAACTACAACAAACACATTCTAATGTCTCCCTTGTACATCTGACGTTGAAATATATAAGGCACTGCAACCTTTATTTCAGTAATTCATGATCATCCATATACAAAGAAAGACCTGTACAGTGCATTCTTTTGCATAATATAATTCAGAATAATTCACCGTTACTTACAGATCTGAGCGATTTAAATTGTCTATCATGAAAATCATATAGAGTGGATTATAAAAATGACATCACTTATTCAGAAGAGGATGGTGATCAAAAGGCAAGGTAACAGAATCAATGCTCATGAGAGTATTATGTACGTTTGCATCTTATAAGACAATCAGGAATGCCAACTTACTAAAAAATTATTCTTATTTACAAGGCAAGTATGTATGGCAAAGAAACGGGTTCAAAATATACATGTTATGATGTATAATACCAATGCATAATCATAAACATAATGATGCGAAGAAAAGCCTGGAATATGTATCATAGCAATTATTGAAATCCAGTACTGATTACAATCAGAATGAAAATGTGTCGTACAATTATAGCAGCATATTTATATGTACACTGGAGTGATGTAATAAATGGATCGATTTATTATGTAGTACTGGTCACTGGTGATTGTAGTTAAACATGTACAAACAATAATCAATTTCAAATTAAATATTAAACTGATAACTCAGGCATGTTACATTGACAAAAGAGACATGTATCTTAACATTATAGCAGCATGATTACATTTACACTGGAGTGTTATCAAGAAAATCCAGGAAAATATTTCCTCAGATGGATTTTAAAATCTAGAACTGAATGTAGTTATAAATTTACAAACAATAATACATCTCCAACAAACTGTTACACTGATAACTCAGACCCATGTTCACACATCATTACCAGACAAAGCTAGTTCTCAACTATCATATTGAGTATCAAGTTCGTTAATAACATAACTAGAGCAATATGGCTCTTAACATCTGGGTCATTCCTGGGAACTATTTCTACTTAAATATATTTTTATTGAACATGTGCAATGACATATTGATAAGATAATTTAAAATATTACGTTCTTCAACTCATAACTCACTCTGTGAAAGTTGGGTGGTATTTCATACATTGCATGCAAATTACCTAAAGCAAAGTGATTAAAGTCTACAATACACATATACTCTCTACATGCATTATATTAAAGCTGTCTAATGTATGATTGACACATTTCTTATTCATTTCAGGTTTATTTAACATGGGTTTCAATTTAACAAATGCTTTCAGGAAGAGCGCTGTGATAAAAAATGTGAGATCACTTCAAGCAGAAAAAGCGGACCGGCTGGCAGAATGTTATAGTAGAACACGGTCATAATTTTTTGTGTAGTCAGTTTTATAAAAGTTTGAGCTAACGCCCTTTTGCCGGCAGGCGACGAGATATAGTCTACACTTATTCTATATCATGACGATATTGTGTACTGAGAGTCTGGCAGACATTAATCAACAAACAGCACTGCCACTTGTATGTTGTGAAGTAACTAAATCTTCAATTGTAAGCGGTTAGTTGAAAATATATGTGGGAGTGTCGTGGTCGAGTGGTTTAAGACGCTTGACTTGGAGATGCGAAGGTCGAGGGTTTGAATCCCGACACGGCACAAATATCCTTTGGCAAGATATCAACCCGCACTTGCTACTCTCCACCCAGGTGTTAAATGGGTACCCGGTAGGATGCGACCGTCATTGTTAGTCAAACAGTTTTTGAGCGTCACGTAACGCCTGGCTGGAATGCTTCCCAGGGAGTGGAGATTGTGCACACATTGTGTGCAGGCAAGCACTGAATCCAATGACCGGGGTAATAGTTTACTTGTAAAGCGCTTAGAGACATTTGTATTTAAAAGCACCACTGTGTGAGTCAAAAAAATGTTTACACCTAGAAAATTGCTAATTATTTTAAAAATCATCTATGAACAGTAGATTAGTATACATATTATGAAAGAGTGTTTTATCCCAAATCATTTGGTATCATTTTTGTGTGGAATGTGTCCACGCTTGTATAAACAGGAGGCACATTGTTTGCGAGAGTGCAAAAATCGACTTGCGCCAGAGTGATGCCTACAGTATGTATTATGTTGAGATTAGCGGAGTGAGAGAATGGATTGAATGTATCGAATGAAACGCATTGCTATGC